TACCTTATATTAATTAAAATTAATAACATATTATATTTGTATACTGCTTAAACTTTAATAGATTTTTTTAAAAAAAAATAAAGGTACAATGTAATTAACATTTTTATACAATATGATTAAAAAAAAAATACTATTTAGTTTTAACAGTAATTTATAAAGAAATCTCTGCCTCTAGAAAAAAGTAATTTAAATTTACTACAGCTAAGATTAATCCTTATTTGAACATGATTTTCTACCATAATATCTGCTCGTGCAATTTTCATCTATTCGTTTGCATTTATACTTATTGTTATTACAAGGCCCTTGCAATTGCAAATACCATTTGACACTAATTCTACACTCTGAAGCCTTGCTGCCTCTCAAACAGATAGCACATGCGATGGGATTTCATTAAGATCAGGATAAGAGATGGTTCCAAGAGACTCAAGTTTCTCTGATGTGTAACAAATATTGATAATACCAAATTTGCACTCTAATTGGTATTTTTTGCCAATTATATCAACAATTCTGCAAGGAAGTATAGGATGATCAGTTCCGAATCGATCGATTTTTGGAATATTAATCCGTACCAAGTCACCAACATGAAACTCGACAATTTTTCTTTTTTTTGTCATCTGAGTTACCATTTTCTCAGTGTAAATCTGAAGGTCCCATCATGCTGCACTTCGCAATAATTCATACGGGGTATCACATCAAATGTAAAATTACTCAAAATATTGGTGCTATTCTTATCTCGATAGTACGAGAATTCTCTGTTATTATCTATAAATTTAGAATTTAAGTTAATGGTAATAAAAATAATAATTGTATAACATATTAACTTATATATTAACATACCCAAAATACTATTTCTACTATCTTGCTGATGGTACAAAAATTCAGAGCCTCTATCTATGAAATTGAAACACAAATTAACAATAATATATTAAAAAAAAAAGCATCAAATATTAACTTACCCAACATGTTGGTGCTATTTTCATGTTGATAGTATAAGAGTTCCATGCTTTCATCTATAAAAAATTTAGATTGTAAGTTAACAGTAGTAAAAATAACAATTGTACAATATATTAACTTACCCAAAGTATTATCTCTGTTATTTTGCTGATGGTATGAAAATTCAGGGCCTCTATCTATGAATTTGAAACACAAATTAGCAATAATAAAATTAAAAAAAAAAAGCATCAAATATTAACTTACCTGACATGTTGATGCTATTTTCATATTGATAGTATAAGGGTTCTATGCTTTCATCTATAAAAAATTTGGAATATAAGTTAACAGTAATAAAAATAACGTTTGTATAATATATTAACTTACCCGAAGTATCTCTGTTATTCTGCTAATGATATAAAAGCTCAGGGTCTCTATCTATAAATTTGAAATGCAAATTAATAATAATAATATTAAACAAAAAAAGCATCGAATATTAACTTACCCAAAATATTGGTGCTATTTTCATGTCGATGGTATGAGGATTCCACACTTTCATCTATAAATTTAGAATGTAAGCCAACAGTAATAAAAATAATGATTATACAATATATTAACTTACCCGAAGTACTATCTCTGTTATTCTGCTGATGATACAACGAAAGTTTAGGGCCTCTAACTATGAATTTAAAATATGAATTAATAATAATATTAAAAAAAAGTATCGAATAGCAAATGCAAGTTAATAGTAATAAGAATAATGATGTTTAACATTTTAATATACCTGATATATTATTTTTATTATCCCGTCGATAGTGTGAAAGTTCAAGATTTCTATCTATAAGTTTAGACCACAAATTAATAATAATAATGTAAAAAAATAAAAAATAAAAAATACATCGAATATTGACTTACCCAAAGTATAATTATCATTTAATTCTGGATCCCTTTCTAAAAATTATAAATTTGAGTTAGTAATATAATAAAATTATTGAATTTAAACTGATATTAAATCGTTCAAAGCGCTATTACTATGCTGATGTAAAACTTCAGAATTTTTGTCTAAAAAATTGTAAATGTATTAATTAAAATATAAATAAAATCAAATAATTGTGATATATTAATATACCCTTATAGTTTAGTTTTTTTTTAGATAGTAATTTATGCATAGGCTTTAAAAAAAATTAAATAATTAAAAAATCAAGAATAAAATCTTACCATTTATGTCGTTATCCAAATCTGGAATAGAATTACTCTGAATGTCAATAGTATTCAGAATTTCTTCTTCGTCACAGATATTTCTTTCAAACAAATCATCAACTAATATACAATTGCCGCAGGGTTTATCCCCATAAACGGGTTTGTAGGGGTTTTCTTATGTGATCGACACCACAAAGTATTCATAGCAGTAATTACAAATTTTAAACCCTATAACCAGTTGCCTTGACCTGTTTCTTTCTTCTACTTGTCTATTTTCTGTTCTAATATTCTGTTTGCACATTCTACTAGCTCTTGGGACTGAGAGTGCCTAGAGCGCCCATTTATGATCTTAACCGAGGGTCATAATTTCATTAATTCTTTAATAACTTCTACGCAAAACTCCTTTCCGTTATCTGACTGAAGTATTAGAGAAGATGATCCAATTAAATAAAAAAGATCAAACAAGTAGGCTGCCACTTCAATTGCCCGTTTAGAGATAAGGGCTTTCGTCCAAGAGAATCTTGAGAAATGATCACGCACATGATATATGTACTTAAATTCTCCATCTGGATCAAAAGTCATGTTAATAAGGTCGATCCAAAAACAAATAAGTTAAATAAAATTTATGTTATATTTAAATAAAGTAAAAATAAAAAAAATAAAAAAGTAAAATAGATCACTTGAATATGGGAAATAAAGAAAA